TTTGTTTGTTTTTTGAGACAGGGTCTCCCTGTAGTCCCAGCTGGCCTGGAACTCACTATGTAGACTTTGAGCTCACAGAGCTCCACCTGCCTCTGCCTCCCAAGTGCTAGGATTAAAGGTACATGCCACCACCCCTAGTGACAAATGTAACTTCTAAGTTACTTGCAAAGCTTGAGTCACCTTTTGGGTGACAACAGAAATAAAAGAAAGCCTATTGTGGCTTTGGATAGTGCTTGGTAGTCCAACCTAGGATTACTTTTCTTGAGCCAGAGTTTTATCATCTCTGTTGTTCTTACCGTCTGAGTAGGGTATGCCTCCACCAGCCTGGAAAAAAAGGAGCCACAAATATTAGTGTTGTTTTAGGCACTTGAATGTTGATTTGTTAACTTCAAAGGACATACCTTTTTAAACTGATCTACATTCTGAGGTGGGTTACATTCAGTAGCAGGTTATTTTTAGCCCACAGATGGCATCCTTGTGTAATTCTCTGAATGGCCTTTTAAGGAGGGAATCTTTCAAATGGCTCATGTTAAGTCTGTTAATGCATCCCTTCCATGTGAGGGTTTTAAAGTTGGATGCACTAGAGCTCCAGAGAGGGAAATCACCCCATGGTCACAGTAAGTCACAGTCCATGTTAGCAAAGCCTCATTCCCAGGCTCATTCCTCATCTTGTTTTTTGAGATTTAAATTTAGACAAGTCCAAGAGGAGCAGCAAAGTCCCAATAAGTTGCTTCCCCTTGATGGCTTGTTTGGGGCCCGGTTAGCCTGCTGATCCCCTGGGTGGTATGTAATAGCTACTTGAGTTGCTAAGACAACTGCCTCAAGCAGGATAGCTATTTCCATTGAGCGTTTATGTCCTTATTTCTTGAAATTAATAAGTCTCTTTCTCCAAATAGGTTCATGCACATGCATTATCATGAGGGTACATTTGGAATCAGTGTAGATATTTACTTATTTTTCCCTGGTACAGTTGTAAAGCCTTGGGACAATTAATTCAGCTTTTTGTGCAGAGGTACAGCTGGAGGGGTGTGGGCTTTTGTTACCTTATCCAGGGCCCCCGTAGTATATGCATGCAGCACTGCTGGGTCCCCTTTCGATGAAGTGCTCCCTGTGGTGAAGTGTTCCCAGTCAGAGACTGTCATCAGCTGGCCTGTCAAATCTGGTGTGCTGACATAAATTGTATTGAGAATTTCTAAGCAGTTACATTCCAAATCTGACTGAGTCTTTTGTTGGGAGCAAGATAGTGTCATTATTCACCTGGCTGAGGGTTCTTTTTGCTGTACATGGATAACATTGAAGGAAATGAAAGTTATCAGAAACCAGCATTTTAAAAGCTCCCCTACCTACCCACAATTTCTATCCAGGAGGTGTTTGGTTTCTTCTCTATGAGCATGTGTGACACCTTTGTGTGTCTTAGTGGTCTCTGATATAGATACTTTGAAGAGCTCTGCTCCTTAGCATATGCAACACAGATGACTCCTTAAAGGGCTTTCCTTTCAGCATTGTGCTGTTGGCTCTATTTTGGCCAAGTCCAGGTTTGCCATGACCAGACACCATGAGTTTTGCTCTCTCTCTCTCTCTCTCTCTCTCTCTCTCTCTCCCCCCCCATTTAGTGCTCGCAGGACTGGAGAGGTGGACAGAGTTGGTCATTCATGACTGCTGGTCCTAATGGGTCACTGTGGGTTCTATAGATCTTCACCCAGGGCCCTAGCCAGTCTCCTGGAGCAGAAGCATGGGCAGTGGAGATCAGCTTTGTCTTCTGCTTGGAAATGGTGTGATATAGACCCAGAGGTCCTAGAAGTCAGTGACAATTAGAACTTTCTCTTTTTCTGATTTTGTCTTCTGAGAGAGCCTTGACCAGCAGTGGTCATGAGTTGAGTCTTCCACACCTGATGCCTCACTTTCCTGACCGGAAACATCTGTCTAGACTGAACTCTGAATCCTGAAGCCACCCATAGCCACTGTCCTGTCGACTTATAGCCCTGCTGAGTGCCTGTTGCGTGTCAAGTTCAGTGCTATCCACCATGGAGACAGCAGTGAATGGGAGAACCCCCCTCATTACTGCTAAGTTTCAGTCTGATGCAAATGTAGCTAACTGTGGAACCCCAGGAATCATGAGCAGCTTTGTGTGTAGGTATATTTTTTTCTCGGAGATTTTCTGTGGCTTTCCTTGCATTTTCAAAGATATCCAGAGTTCATGAAAGGCTTAGCATGTTTGGACCTTTGTAGCTCTACTAGTTCCTAGCTCTGTGGTCTTGAGCAGGAAATGTACCAGTATAAGGTCCTAAATTTCAATGCCCCCATCTATGAGATGGAGAGTGTGTATGTAAGATGACATAGCTAGTTTATTAGTCATGTTATCCAGGGAAACACAATAAGTGTGTGTGTGTGTGTGTGTGTGTGTGTGTGTATGTGTGTGTGTGTGTGTGTGTGTGTGTGTGTATACAGAGAGATTAAGATTTTCAAGAATTGGTACCCACAGCTGTGAAGATAGCAAATCAAAAATCTGAAGGGGGCTGTCAGACTGGAAACCCAGAAAAGTGTTGCAGTTCATGTTCAAAGCTATCTACCAACAAATTTCCTCTTGTAAAGGAGAATTCAGTATTTGTACTTCAGTTACTTCGAAGAGCTCACTCATATCATAGAAGGTAATCTATATTATTCAAAGTCCACGATTTAAATATGAATTTCATAAAAAAATCACTCGCAAAGCATCAAGAATCATGTTCTTGATTGAATTCCGGACCTTGTAGCCCAGCCAAGTAGACACAAAATTCATCACCACACTGGTGTTAAATAGCCAGTGATTGCTAAATCATCACTGTCATGTCCAGTGAACCATGAGACCTCTGAGCTTGGGAGAATGCTTTGAAACCCCCAAATCATAGAAGCTACCCCAGAAAAGATCTTGGGAGTCATGGGGCAGGTCAGAGACCCAGAAAGCCAAGAAGGTTCTAGAACATAAGCATCTGGGATCTGGGCAAGGCAGTCTATGGCTGCTCTAAAGACAGCCTGGCTAGGAGGAATGTGCACCGGCCACAGACAGCCTCTCTGGGGCCTGTAGTAGAGAGAGGGCAGGGACTGTTAAGCAGGAACCAGAGGAGGGGGTATCTTCAGTTGATAGAGCAAAGCAGAAGCACCTGGAGAGGAGACAGCCCTCTGTCCCAGGAGAGAAGGGTCAGAGATCAAGGACGTTGAGCAGGGGTTCTGATGGATGCATCTGGATTTCTGACTGCAGGAAGCTGTGGTTTGTGGCTGCATCTTATTCAGAAGCTGTGGCAGGATCAGAGCTCAGAGAAAAGTTAGGATGCTACATTTAGGGAAAGCCTCTTCTCCTGGAGATATGGTGCTGATCCAAGGTGGTGGTGGTGGGGATCATGTATTTCAGGTCCTGTCATGTGGGTGTCATAGCCACATGTGATTTCTGGGGACTGAGCAGCTGTAGTCAATGTCCCCTTGGGTGGACTCTTCCTCCAACCTCTGAGATATAAGGAGCCCAAGGTTATGCAGGAGACAGCCATGTACCCCAAGTGGGAAAAAGCTGAACTGGACCAGGGACCTCCCAGAGGGTTCCCTTATACTCCACACAACTTTTAAGGAACGTACACTGTACTGTCTGGTACCTTGTCCATCTGATGGACCATGAGCCCTCCAAGATGTAGTGTTTGGTCACAGAGTTTGTGCAATACAGGGATCCAAGCAGAATCTCATTAGTTCATGGAGTCTCACTTCCCTATGGTCCTCACAATCTCTATGGGACAGCAAGAAGTCTGTTTGTCACAACATTCCACAATGTGGCTGGATGGATGAAGGGGAGGTCTGGGATGGCCCTATGAAAGAAGTATGTACGAATTAGTTCTGGAGCTCTGTTGTGTCACATGCTCCAAGTCACAGAAAACTGTGACAAAAGGATAGACTTTCTATGTTTTTACCACACAGAAAACCAAGATGATGGTTAAGTTAGATTGAGTCATTTCAGTGCAAACAGGATATTCCAAATATAATGTCATACATCCTAAAGTAACTTTTTTACTTTCTCTGTTTTGTGTTGCAGTTTTGAGAGTCTTGTTTTGTGGTCCAGGCTGGCATTGAACTTACAATCTTTCTGCTTTAGTCTCTCCAAGTGCTAGGGTTATAGACAAGTTATATGACCTGTAATATTTATCAATTATACCTCTATAGATGTGGGGGGTTTCTATAGAGATTTGGGGATGTCTGGGTTTGTGATGTTAGATCTGTGTGTGTTGAACATGGTGCATTAAATACCACTTTAATTAGTGTATCTTGATTCCTGGATTGGACCAACAGCATCTTGGTGAACTTAAACCTCTCCTGCCGGAATCCAACCCCTCCAATCAGCTACAACTCCCTAACCTAAAACCCTCAGAGACTCTTGCTGCTATTGACAGATGCTCAGTTGCTCTCCATGGCCTCTCCAGACCCTAGGCACCTGTTCAACACAACTAGAGACCTGTGGGGGGAACTGGGTATCAGTTAGGTGGCCTAACCCAGAGCCCTAGGGATGGGGATGAACAGGCAGCTGTGAGTTGAAACAGCTTGCATCCCAACCACAGTAAGGCAGTTTGCAGATGTTCTTCCACAGGTGATGACCACAGGCACTGGAGGGTGCCTCAAGGCTGTTGGTGGAAACCAGAGCCAATCTGGGGCAAGAATGGAGCCTCACAGACCTGTTTGCACTGGCGAGGCTTCTGCCAGCCAGAGGAGGAGGGCCTGCTCTTCAGGAAGCCCAGACTACAAGTGGGGCCAGAGGTAACTTTGACCTTGAAGGCCAATGAAGCTCAGGGCAGGACAGGTGCTGGACACTGTTCCCAGGCGATACGGCATTTTCCTCCTGTTGCTGATGCTGGGCCTGGTGGAGGGTGTCCAGGGCTTGCTTTCCCCAAGCTCAGCACGAGGGAGCAGACCCCTGGACCGTGGAGCACTGGTGGGAAGAAGCAGGTCTAGTTTGTGGATCTTGCCAGGCAGGTAAGGGACTTGCTTAATGGGGAAATGTGTGTACGTGGGTCCATGGACTGGATGCTGGAATGGAAGACTGAGGGGGAAAGTGGCTCGGATGGCCAGAGTGGTGAGGAGGAGGGATCAGTCCGAGATGAGAGTCCTGAGAGATACTGGTTTAAACCCAGCACTTTGCCCATGTTGGGCAAGTGCTCTACCATTGAGTCACATCCCCAGCCCCCTTCCCCTTTTCTCACTTTTTATTTTGAGAAAGGGTCTTGCTAACTTGCCCAGACTGATCTTATACTGTGTAGCCCAGAATTTGCCACCCTCCTGCCTCAGCTTCTGAAGTAGCTAGAATTAAGGTTTGTGCTTCCTGGCCAGGCTGCATACGTTCTTTTTAATCAAGTATTTTCACATCTAGAAATTTACTATGAGGGAACTATCAAAGTATCCATTAAATACTATAGGTGTCTGGGAGGGGAAAGTAGAAATGGGCTTGGGAGATGCCTGCCTGTAGGTAAGTACTTGCCTCATAAGCACGAGGATCTGAGTTTAGACTCCCAGCACCCAGGTAAACAGCAGGGTGTAGTGGCACATAACTGGTAGTCTTAGCAATGGGGAGGCAGAGACAGGAGAATCCCTGGGACTCACTGGCCACTAGTCTAGCTGAATCAGTGAGCTCCAGGTTCAGTGAAAGACCTTATCTCAGAAAATAAGGTGGAGGGTAACTGAGGAAGATACCTCATGTCCATCTCTACTCTCCATACTCACATGCACACACATACATGCATACACATGCAACAATTAAAATGTCAAGCAATAAGAGAGGGTAAAATGAACTCTGCTGGGGATGGGGATCCAGGACTTTCACACGCTAAGCATATATTCAGCCTCTGAGTTCCACTGAAGCCCGTGTTTTGTAAAGGGAAGCACAATACATAACCTGAGGGACTGGGTGTTCAACACAACCTCTAGGATGTTCATCTAGGTGGTTGGATGTATCATTAGTTTTTTTTTTCTTTTTTTTGTATAAAATATTTAATTTATTGATCTTTCGGGGGAATTTGATACATCACTATTACAATTGCGCCATTAACCTTGTAGCTTCTTCAACATTAGTGATTCATTTTCATGGTGCTGCTGCTGAGGAACCAGTTCTTTCTGCACAGATTTAAGAGAAAGGCTTTTTGAAAAGTTTGCAAGTTCCTTCTGTATATTTACAAAAGCTCTGTTCACTCTGTTAACTTTTTCATCATTCATAATGTTTATCTTTTTAAGATTAGTAGTAACTGGTTTTGCTTTGTTTTTGGCCTTGACGTTTTTCTGACTGGCTATATGAAATACATTCCTGGACTTCTGCCCTTTTGATTTGTTCTTGGCCATTGTCAGACCTTGGGAACCACTCGCGGATGCTCAGGATCCAAGTGACGCCATCTGTAAACACCGTTTTTTTTTTTTTTTTCTTTTAAAGAGCAGGATTCCAAGTGTGCATATAACCTTTGAACCCATTTTCTTTAGTTCAGTTATGACCCCGTTGCAATTCATCTGAGAGGTTTATTTATTTATTACAGAGTAGGATCCCATTTATGAGCATGTTGTGGTTTGTTTAGCCAGTCCCTAGTTGATGGGTCTTAGTTATTTCCAGTTTGGGGCAGTCATGAATGAAGCATATGAACTCAGTTTTTCATTCCACTTGGATAAGCACCAAGAGTAGGATTTATATCATGTGTCCAACTGTATGTTTCCAGTAAATTGGCCAGTGACTTTGCAAAACTCCTGTCCCTTTTTGTATCCCAAGCCATGCATGAAAGTTCTGGGAACTCTGTGTTCTCACTACACGTGGTATCATCAGGTTTTTAAGAATTCTCATAAAATACATATAACACAAAACTCAACATTTTAATCAAAAGTGTATAATTCAGTAGCATTCAAATGCTGTGCAGACAGGATACCCTTGAAATGACACACACACACACACACACACACACACACACACACACTCATCCTACAGATATTGAAATGGCATATTATGGTAATTTAGGGCTGTATTTTCCTGAAGAAAAATGATATCAAACATGTTTTCATGTGTTGTTGGCCATTTTTATATCTCCTCTGGAGAAATATCTACCAAGTCCTTTGCCTATTGTTTAATTGGATTGTCTTTCATTGTTGATTTATAAGACTTCATTATATAATCTGAATACTAGACTCTTGTCAAAAATATCATTTGCAAGTTATCTTCTGCATTTGTGAACTCTCTTTACTTTTTTGATAGTTCTCTCTCTTTCTCTCTCTTTTTTGGGGGTCTTTTTGAGACAGGGTCTCCCTATATCCCCAGCTGGCCTGGAACTCGCTATGTAGACCAGGCTGGCCTTTGACTCACAGAGATCTGCCTGCCTCTGCCTCTCGAATGCTGGGATTAAAGGTGTGCACCACCACGCCAGACTGATAGCTGGAACTCACTATGTAGACCAGGCTGGCCTTGAACTCACAGAGATCTGCCTGTCTCTGCCTCCCGAGTGCTGGGGATAGTTCTCTTTTATGCACAAATGCTTTTAATTTTGATGAAGTTCAATTTACCCATTTTCATTTTATTGCTTGTACTTTTATTTTTTTCCTTTTTAATTGAATTTTTGTCATTTTCATACAATATATTTTGACTGTATTTAGGTCTCCTCTCCTATCTATACTTCCCTTTATTACCCCCACCTAATTTAATGTACTCTAATATATATTATATTACAAAGCCTAATTACCGTTTATAGCACTTTCTAAGGTGGAAATGCATTAGTCCAACATATGACACCTGTATCTAGTTAGCACTAATCCAATGCTGTATCCTTGTAAGTAACTGAGTCAGTAATTACAGTCAGAAAAGGCAAAACTTGAGGTTTCTTGTGGATTTGGAATCTCAAGAGGGTGATTTTCTTGTTTCTTAATTATTTTGAGATTTGTTTTTTTCTTTTAAAAAGGGTATTTAAATATAGAATCTAAGGACAAAGATGTCATTTTAGTGTAGAAAATGAGGTGACTCAGTCTATAGTGATTCCAGGCTTCTGACCTGGAGGGCAAAAAGAATACTCATGTGGAGTCTTTGTGGAGACAAAGACAGAAAGAGCTGATGGAGTCAGGGGTCTCATCTGAACATGAATCTGAGTTTCTCATTGAGCACAAGGTCAGTAAATAATTGAAGTGGCATGGAGGAGATTTGCACATTGGATAGAGTACAGCCTCATCTTAGGGGCAGTAAGTGGAAATGGAAGGTGGCAGAGGAGGAGGACCTCAGGGTTGGCCTGGGGGCCAGCAGCCATGATAGGCCAGAGAGAAAGGGAAGCCAGGGAGGGAGGAGTGCATGGTCTGAGACACCTGGGAGAAGAGAGGCACTAGAAAGAGGGGCATACCTCTTGCTGCATCCTGCAGAGACATAAGTACAGTAGAAACTTGGGTGAGACTTTGGACTTGACCATGATGACCATCTTGTGGGCCTTGTTCTGAGAAGTGTCACAGGGAGATGGAGGTGAGGGCCAAGTGGATCCCTGCCAGGTCTCCAGCATGAGAAACAACACCTGCTACAAACAGGATGGATGGATGGACAGATGAGTGGATGGACAGATGGATAGATAGATGATAGAAAAAGTGATCTGAAAGATCAGAGAAGGCCTCATGAATGGGGCATGACTGGATAGGAATGAAAGCAGAAGAATCTGCATGTGTGAGCACCTTAAATCAAGAATGATGTAGTGTGTAGGGTCCAGGGAGGAAGCTAGTCTGGCTAGATCAGGAGAACTGGTAGGGAGGAGACTCAGCAACTGTCAAAAGGTCCACCAGGAGTCTCTGGCTCACCACACCCAGCAGAGCATCACTCAGGGATTTGCTGAGAAGCTGCTGGGCTTGGTGTTTCCATCAACATTTACAAACTCAGAGATTGGGGGGGTGGAGGGACAGACCTGTGGGGGGTCTCACTCCCCACCTACCCTTTACCAAAGGCATAGTCCATCTACTGTACCTTGTGCCTCTTACACCCTGCAGGTTCGAGTTCCAGCTCATCCCACAGGGAACATGTTCCCGGTGCTGGCCTCGTGGTTCTCCATCTGAGCCTAAGTCATCGTGGTATGTTTTTGGTAGTGGGACCCAGCTCACAGTCCTAGGTAAGTGGCTCTCATGATCTTGTCCAGCTGAACTTAGCCCTTCTGCTGTCTCAGAAAAGTCCATTTTCCTTCTGGGGGCTTCTTCCCATCTCCTTTCCCTAGTTTTAAGGACTGACATTTATACTCCTTTCTGTGGAATGAGAAGTTGTGATCTTAGGGTGACCCACAGAAAGGGCTCCAATAGCTTCATCCTTTCTTCTAAGTCAGATACCTAAGTAGGGGTCAGGATCTAGGATTTGTGGGCACCAGGATTTATAACCAATGAGTCCCCAACAGTTGAACTGAGGGCCAGATATCTATCCAGACTGAAAAGGCCAGACCGGAGGCCTGGGGACATGGCTGGTGCTGTGAACCTAGCCTTCAAAGACTCAGGTCACCCCACGTAGAGAGCGAGAGCAAGAGAGGGAGGTGGGGGGGATCTGGCTTACTGTAGGCTGCAGCTCTCTGATTCTCTGCTGGGCCATGAGAACATGAGGACACAGGAAAGACTCAGAGTGGCAAGGTGACTAGAACCTGGCCTTCCAAGGATTGCTACTAGAAAAGAACATAGACTTGTCTGTACAGCCCCGGAGTCCCTTAGCCCTGGGGCCTGGTAAGTCTCTTGGTCAGATGTCTTACTTGCCTACCTTCCTCAAGTGATCTTAGACTTAAAGATGATGAATGAGGGAGCAAATGGTAATCAGAGAACCACCTAATTGACAGATGAGATCAGGAGTCATCAGAGATATCTGAGTAGGCAAGGGGTTACTGTATCCCATAGTCAGGGAGATGAAGCCTCAGGAACATAGCCAATCAGTGACTGGATGATCAGTGTGGACAAAGGAGCCAGTAGAACCTTAGAGGTAAGCCAGTTTTATGGATGGAATCTACTTCTTGATGGGATAGCTGAACAGAGCAGGCTAGAACACAGGCTCTAGAGAACCTGTATAGTAGGCATACGGTCTCCCAACATATCCCAGGACCAACCTTCCAGGTTCGTGGATACCCCAGTTCACACAGGAGGCTCTGAGCATTGAAGGAGTAATGGGAAAGGGAGGGGCTGGGCTACAGGTAGGTGTATAGGAGGCCAGGGTCAGATTCCAATTCAGACTCTAGCTACCAGGGATTAGGGAACACAGCCAGCCTTAGTCTTGGTGGGGAAACTGAGATCACAAGGGGAGATCAAAAGGGCTGGGCCAGGTCACCCGGGAGAGAAACAACATATAACAAAGTGTACCACTCTCAAGAAGACAGTGGAGGAGAGGAGGCAGGGTCCCTGGGTGGAATACTCTAATGACACCGAGAATAGTCACCGAGACTTTAGACAGGAAAAGGGTGCTTCTCTATTACATGGGCTTTCCTATGACAACTCATCTCCTCTGTCTGCACAGGTCAGCCCAAGGCTGCTCCTTTGGTCACCCTGTTTTTGCCTTCCTTGAAGGAGATCCAGGCCAACAAGTACACACTGGTGTGTCTGGTGAGCGAATTCTACCCGGGTGCTCTGGTGGTGGCCTGGAAGGTAGATGGCATCCCTGTCACTCAGGGTGTGGAGACCACCCAGCCCTTTAAACAGACCAACAACAAGTACATAGCTAGCAGCTACCTCACACTGATGTCTGACCAATGGACACCTCACAGCAGATACAGTTGCCAGGTCACTCACGAAGGGACCACTGTGGAGAAGAGCATGTCCCCTGCTGAATGTTCTTAGGTTATGGTCCTCTTCCTACCCTTGGTGGCTTGGAGCTGAAAGACCCAGGGAGGGGGTCTCCTTTCCTGCCAGTGGCCATCCCAGCCCTTCTCCCTGTACCCAATACTCAATAAATATCCTATTACCCACAAGATATTCTTCTCCATCTCATTGATTTCCATGTCATATTTCACTTGCCTGCCCAGGGACTTCAGAGTTGGATGGAGAAGTCCTGGAACTCAGTGGGAAAGTAGCCTAGGGGAGAGGTTCCAGGATTTCAGCCCATTGGCTTTCACTTTCCTTCTCTTTATTTTCCCAGTATAGCTCCTCTCTTACCCTCTGCCTCCTTTCTGGATTGAACTGTGGCCTTCTGAAACATTGTCTTCTATCTCTACCCTGGTCTGAGAGGTCAAGGCTCAGAGACATTAGGAAATGACCAAGGTCACACTTGAGGATCAGAACTGGATTGGAGCACAACCCAAGGCAAGCCCTTCACATGGAGCCTCCAGAGTTCTAGGCTACACATGATTTGGTTTTACCCATCCTCTCAATTCTCCATTCACTCACCCAAGTACCCATCTACCCACCAATACACCCACTTGTTATTGACCCATTCTTCTACCACTCATCTATCCACTTATCAATCATCAATTTACTCACACATCCCCTGATTTCCCCCCATCCATTACTTACCAACACACCAACTATTCATCCAACTGCCTACACACTTATGCACTCACCAGTCTCCCCACACTCCCATTCACCCATTTATCCACCTATGCATCATCCATCTTGTCCATCAAGAGTCCACCCATCCATATAGCCACTGGTCCAGCTCCTCCTTCTTTCCTGCTCCCCTTCTCTCCATCTTCACCTTCCTTCTTTTCTTCCCTCATTTAAATTGTTCATTGGGAGTCTTGTGTTCAACAGGTGCAGGATAGGCATTGAGATCAGATGAAAAGTCTCAAGACCTAGCAGGAGGCTCTGCTACCTGAGGGTGGTACCTTTTCCTTGGGTAATATTCTCTCCAGAATCAGAAATACCTTAATGATTTAATTTAATGACAATTCCTTGATATCTTTTGAAGATAGTTCAATAAGGACCAAGACTTTTGCTTTGTCTTGTGTTTTATTATTTATTGTTTTTTATTGGTATGAGTGTATTGCCTGTGTATATGTAAGTGCACCTGTGTTGTGCAATGCCCATGGAGGTCAGAAGAGGGCGTTGGATCCCCTGGAACTGGAGTTATGGATGGTTGTTAGCTGCCATGTGGGTGCTGGGAATTGAACCTGGGTCCTCTGCAAGAGCAGTCAGTGCTCTTAACTGCTGAGCCATCTCACCAGCCCCAGGAACTTTTTATTTTAAGGGGATTTTTTTTCCCTCTATAATGCAACAAGGCACTGAAAATAAAATTATGAGGGATCATTTGCAATTTTAATCATTTACTCAGTGTTTCCTCCTGCATCTTTGAATAGGGACACACAGAAACTTTTACTTTAAAGGACCTGTTGGGGAGATGTAGAGATCATTGTGAAACATACTCTAGCCTTAAATATAGGAATTGTGCCATTGGCTTCTGAACTGCAGAACCAAAAACTGTGTACCAAACACACTTCTTTCTCTGAGTGGTAGTCTATTTCCAGACTACTTGGGAGTTCCATAAAAATACCAGGAGCTCAAGTTATATAAAAGATCTCTCTTTTAAAATTTTAATTAATTAATTAATTTTATTTTATGTGTATGAGTGTTTTGCCTGCATGTTTGTTAGTATACCCGTGTTGTGCAGTGCCAGCGGAGGTCAGAAGAGGGCATCGAATCACCTGGAACTGGAGTTACAGACCATTGTTAGCCACCACGTGGGGTCGGGAAATGAACCCAGATCCCTCTGGAAGAGCAGCCAGTGTTTTTAAGTGCTGAACCATCTCTCCAGCCCCTAAACGCTTTCTTTTAGAAATGTCACCCAGCCACAAAATATTGCTCGAATTTAAAATAATTTTTTTAAAACAGTGAAATGAATAGAACTAAATTGTTAGTAATTAAGAGAAAGCTTGGAAGATAGATCTAAATTTAACATCCTATTCCTTCTGCTTTTCCCACTGAATCTATAGACTGCTTAACTGCTGTCACCCTAGTGTAATTAAGTATATGGAAATGGCTGTTGTTAGCCTTCAGGGATCTGGAAACCTAGCACGCCATACCTCTAAGGGATGCATTAAATAAAACGACTTAAAGCTGCCTTGATCAGATTATGGGCTGCTACTCGTGAGGCTGCTCTTGACTGTCTAATCGACAGTCCGGCTGCTGCTCACTCGGGATACCCTCCTGCCGACACCCGCAGGCGCCACACCAGCCACTCTGGGTCCTTTTGTAGAGAACCGCATCCTCCTGGCAGTCCCCTGCATCCCCGCCCCACGCCCGGGCGACTCTCACCTAGCCATATGCTCCAGGCGGTCTGGCGCACCCAGGGGTGTTCCCACGTCCGGCACACGCCCCCGACACCCGGGCGGTGTTATCAAGCCCACGGCTGGCGGTTGCTTTGAGAAGGCTGCTTTCCGGTTCCGGTCGGTTGCCCTGGAGACGCCCATACACAGACGAACAGATCCCAGTGGACCGCCGGAGCCCGGGGAACACTGCGGCGCCATGAGTCAGCGGCAGGTGCTACAAGGTAGGCCGGCGGAGGGCTGGAGGGCGCTGGAGTGGGCGGGCTCCCAGGTCACCCGGCTGCTCCACAGAACCTCTCTCCTCAGTGTTCGAGCAGTACCAGAAAGCCCGGACCCAGTTTGTGCAGATGGTGGCGGAGCTGGCGACCAGACCCCAAAACATTGAGACGCTGCAGAATGCGGGTAAGCCTGCAACCCCACCCCCTCCCCCGTGTTGCCCTGCCGCCCAGCTCTACTCGATACCCCTGGCCTCGCTTAGCTCGAACTCTGGCCCTAATTTCCCACGCCCTCCTCCCTGCCACCTCCACCCTTAATCCACCCTCCATCTGTGCCCGGCCTCTCCGGGTCCGCGTGGTCCACCCCTCTCTCCCCTTGGTCCCCAGCTAACCGCTTCCTGGGTCTCTTGCTGGCTGCGCTTCCGGGGCGGTGGAAACCAGAGGGATAACGCCAAGTTCCTTCCGTATAGTCTCCAGTCCCCTTAAGGGGGTCTTTATGGGTGAGGCCAAGAGGATGAAGGAAGGGGCTTGGTGTCTTTCATTTCCATTTTCACTGAAATCAGGCAGGTTCCATCAAAGCCATAGGAATTGCCTGGAAGTCAATATGTAGAGCGTGATGGAGCACGCCTTTAATCCCAGCACTGGGAGGCAGAGGCAGGTGGATCTCTGTGAGATCAAGACCAGCCTGGTCTACACAGCGAGTTCCAGGGCAGCTGGGGCTATAGGCTACCTGTGTGATATTCATGATCAGTCTCTATTTAAAATTACTACAGGAAAGCTTGAGACTAGATAATCTAAAATATGCTAAAAATAATTTCCCCAGGAAAAGAAAAACTCTTAGTATGCCATCAAGATAATAGTCAAAGGTAGATCATTTCAAAATACTGTTATATTCCTTTGGTGTTTCATAAGTCAGCTACAAGTACAGTTAGAATGTCAAGTCTAAGCCATACTTTGGTGACCACTTAGTCTTCCAGTTTGGATTAGATTCCTTCTACACTAGGTGCAGTGATGCCTTTTTGGAAATCCCACTACTTGGGAGGCTGAGGCAGGAGAGTCACTTGAGCCCAGAGAGTTCAAGGTCAGCCTATGGGCCCTTTGAGGATTCTGAGCACATGTGTACAAACACAGAGTAAAGAAAATGCAGCTTCATAAAAACAAAGCAACCAATTTTTAATAACAAAATTTTAGAAATTGATACTAGTTTAATGGTTAGCAGGGCCAGGGGCAGCAGGGGGTTGGGTGTGTTTATGAGAGCCACTGCAAGAGACTCTTGTATACAGATCAAAGTGTGTTCTGACTGTGGTAGTGGGGACACATGAGATAAAAATGACATAGAATGAACTATACAGAAGGTAGTTATGACTAGGGAAGTATGAGTAAGATTAACTAATTTCTGCCAGTGTGACCATCCTAGTTGTAACAGTGCACTAACATTTTGAAAGATGCCACTGGAAGAAGCTAAATAAAGGGTAGAGAGAAAGTATCCTGCTTCACAACTCACATGAAACTATACTTGTCTCAAAAATTTAAAACTTAAAGAATATGTTCTCCATTCTAAATGCTTCCCCCTACACCACCAATGAAAATAGCCAAGAATAAATATCAAAATCCCAGGGACAAATAGGTGCAGGGATATTTAAATTCATTTTTTAAAGCCCTCATCTTATAAACTGAAGTTCTCTTATGACAGAGGTCAGTGATCTCACAGTTCAGTTAGTGGTGGAATCAGGTTTGATCCACCAAAAGTGAAACTCCACCTTCTTTTACTCCCTTCCTCCTCCTTTCCTTCTTCTACTCCTCTCCTTCCTCCTCCTCCTCTTCTCCCTCTTCCTTCTCTCGCTCTTCCTCTCCCTCCCTCCCTCCTTCCCTCCCTCTCCCTCCCTCTTTCTTTTTTTTTTTTTCTTCAGTCTTTCTGAAACTAAGGGCTAGTACCATAAGGATTTTACAAAGTCAGGTCTTTACCGTCTTCCAATCTTGGAAAAGATTCGAACATAACATTCTTTTTTCACTAATACAAGTACTGTGAAACCAGTCTGGAATTTCTCTGTTGTGAGGAAGCCTAAGATGGGTGAAAGGTTTCAGGAGAGACTGAGATGGTTTTGTGAGCAAAGTGCTTGCCGAGTAAACATTAGGACTCAGGTTCAGATCCCCAGCACTCATATAAAAAGTTGGGCATGGTAGCAGGTGCCTTTACTTCCCACACTGGGGGGCTTGCTGAGCCCCAGGACTCATTTTTTAATTGCTGCCTGATCCTATGCTCTTGATATTTTACCCTGTACGTATTAGAAATTATTTCTAGATGGCTCAGAAGTTCTTAATGAATTTTGATGTTAACTGCTGAAACAAATCCTCTGTTTAGGGCTTTTCCAGTATTTATCTAATAATTATGAAACTTGTTGGATTTTTAAAATTTTATTGATTTAAAATTTTTATGTGTTTTTTGGTGCTCTAAGCACAGCCATGTGTGTAATGCCCACTGGGACCAGAAGAGGGCATGAGATCCCCTGGAACTGGAGTAACAGACTGTTAGCTACCTTGTGGGTGCTGGGAATCCAACCCAGGTCCACTGTAAGAGCAGCCAGTGCTTTTAACTGCTGAGCCATCTCTCAAGTCCCAACTTGTTTGTTTTTGAGGACTCCTTGGGGACAATCATGGGAATCTGAGTGGAGCTAGTTTGGAAAACTTTAACTGATAAACCCCTGGAGGTGGGAGGGAGTGGGAATGGTATTGAGTTTGAGCTGGCCTCATGAGATCGTTAGTTTTTTATGATTCAAAAGAAATGTCTGATGAAACCTAGATTTTTTTCATAGCAATATTTTAACACACTTATTTTAACAATATGCTTATTTTTTTCAAATGGAGGGTCTCACATAAGCTAGGCTGGCCCAGAACTCATTATGTAGCTGAGGATGATTTTGCACTACTGATCACAGGTGTGCACGTTTGCTTTTAAACTGAAGGCTTAAAAAAAAAAACAAAACCAGACACCTTTTCCCATAGCTTCTTTAAATATATCAGTGAAGACATCAGCCATCATGTCAAAAATATTTTAGAGGAAGATATGCTTATTTCTTCCATAAACATTTGTGCATGTTAGGCTAGATCTAGATATACAAGGCAGGTATTCCTGCTTCCCTTTTTTTCTTTTTTTAAAAACTATTTTTATTGAGTTTTTGTGCATTTCATAAATAGTTCTTCATCAAATTTAGAGCACCACCTCATCCATGCCCCCACATTACCCCCCCCCACCAGACCTCTTACATTCTGTCATATATGTTAAGTCCTAGCTGGTTGAGCATTTGTACCCAGATAGTCTTTGGTGCATGTTTATCCTCTGGAGTCTAGTCAGCCTATCTAGAGATCTTAAGGAAGATCTACTCTCCCTTCCCCAGCAATAATCATTTGCCAACAGTTCCCAGGCTAGGGTCTTTTATTTTTAAAATACTCTCCTTTTCTTTTGCTGCCAGGAAACTCAGAACTTACTTGCAATAGAATCCTTAGCCTGTATTTCTGATAGAGTTATCAGTCCCCTTCCCCAGTACATGGCTATTGATATATATCTCAAATAGTGTGTATCTCTGTGTCTGTGTGTGATACTGGATATTGAATTTAGGCCTCAGGCATGCTAGCCAAGTACTCTACCACTGAACTACATCTTAAGTCTCAGAAAAAATTTTGAACTAATTGTCTTACAAATATTTCCTCTCTAAATACTACTTCTTGCATCAGGTAATCCTTTTGATCTGTTTTTGTTATTCACTAGGATGCCTCCTTCCTAGATACCTGAATCTTCTGCAGACAGATGGAGTAGGTATCTACTGTAAAAGGGGAAATGTTAGTAGAGGAGGACAAGACATGCTGAGTTTGGGCTCCCTAGATAACTTTCAAATGAAAACAGTATATGTGGGGTGATTTTAGGTGAAACAGCTTTTATGACTAATATGAGTTTCTTAAGGCTATGGTAATAGCACTGCTCCTATTCCTGACATCTTGTACCTAAAAAGAAAATAACCATGAACACAACATTTTCTTTTGAACCAAAGTTTATCTGAAAGGGGGGAAAATTATACAATAACTTTGACAAATTGGTTCATTCATCATTCAATGAACATTTATTGCATTCACAAGTACTAGATAGATACTGAGTTTACATGCTGATGATGCAAGCCTGAAAGGAGTAGTCCTTGCCCTTCAGTGTCTTATTTACTAATGAATGTATATATATATATATAATATGTAATATGTATTGCTGTTATGTATCAATATATATTACTACATAAAGTTACTGTGGTGGTTTGAGAGAAGTGATCCTTGTGGGTTCCAAGTATTTGAACACTTGGTCAGTTGGTGGTGCTGTTTGGGGAGAGTCATGGAACTTTAAAAAAAAATTTTATAAAAAATTTATACATGCGTGTAAGGTGTTTTGACCAAATCCATGCCCACTCCTTCTCCCCCAACATTTCCCCCCCTAAAGAGGTAACCCTAAAATCTTTTAAGGACTAGATACAAGCTCCCAAATACTTTTGACATTTTTGGCCTTGGAACAGAGTATGTTGCTAACAGGCCCAAGGACATTTTGACTCTTTTAGCCAAGAAACTGGCTACATTTCTTTTGGGTTTTTTTACCCTAACTGCCTAGCCAATTCCTACCTTCTGTTCTTATCACACCATCCTCTGAAGGGGTTACCCAAATTGCCAATAGGGAATAGGATCTTTTTGGTGTCTGTTGTGATGTTTCCCCTTTCATCTCTGATTTTATTGATTTGGATTTGCTCTTTCTTTCAAGGTTCAGGAAGCAGAGAGAGGTGGGGCGGAGCCGGGTCTAGAGGTAGTTCTCCTGGGGCCCAAGGAAGGCACCAAGCCAGTGGGGGTGAACAGGGTCAGGAATCAGCAGTGGCTCCCCAGGTGTCTGGGGCCCCAAGACTAGGAGTGGCACAGGGCCCAAGCTAGGAGTAGAGAACAGTGGGGGAGATGGAAGGGTGAGCGCGGCTGGCGGAGTCCTCTTTCTTATTTTTTAATGTAGTCACTTAGAGCTATAAACTTCCCTCTTGGAACTGCTTTTAATGTGTCCCAGAGGTTGTGCTGTGTTGTATTGTCCTTTTTGTTGAATTTCAGGAATTCTTTTATTTCTTTCTTAATTTCTCCTTTGACCCACTCATTGTTTAGGAGTGTCTTGTCCAATCA